GGAGCAAGAAGGGATGCAGGGAGGGAGCAAGAAGGGATGCAGGGAGGGAGCAAGAAGGGATGCAGGGAGGACCTTGTCCTTGGGAACGGGGGCTTCTCCACACTTGGATGCCAGCCCAGCTTTGCGAGGTGGCACATTCCATAGCGACTCCATTACACAGCACAGACGAGCTGGAGACCCTTTTCTTGGACACGCTCGAGATCCCTGCGGAAGATCGTCAGGTTTCCGGAGCTCCCCAAGCCCCTGGGCACCCTCCGGCTGCCCCCGAGGGCGCCCGGATCCTCGGGGGGCACCGGGGTCCCTGCTGACCCTCTGGAGCGCCCGCATCCCATGGGCACGAAGCTGCTTCCAGAGCGGCCGGGCAGGGCGCTCCGGGATCGGATTTATCAGGGATTATCCAGGATTTCGCAGAGCAGCTGACCCAGGAGACACCTCAAGCTGTTAGTCAGGGACGTGGGCAGAGATCCCGGCACGGAGGAGCGAGGAGCCCTTGGCAGCCGGGATGCAGAACCGCAGGCTGGGGGGTCGTGGCCTGGTTGGGGGTAACGAGAACCATGTGTCACCCCGATGAGATCAGAGAGCAGGGACAGATTTTGCTATTTACACCAATCAGGAACCGCTCGGTCCCAAAGGCAAAGCGACCGGCTTGCGTTCAATGTCATTCCATGGAAAACCCGAATGGGAGCGAGCGCTTTAAACCACGACCAAGGAGTAAACACATCATTTGAAACACTAATAATGAGGAGCAAGGAATTATCTTAACCCCAGCTCTTCGGGCAGCCTCCCCAGCGCCCTTGGCACCATCCCACTTTTCCCCTCGCTCTCTCGTCCATGTCTATCCCAAACCCTGGGCCCCGGGGTGGCTGCTGAGCACAAAGCGGCCGCTGTCTCCACACGGGGCTTCCTCATCCAGACTCTGTGCAAACAGCGAGGGAGAAACCGCTGCTCCCGCCCGGCTCCGGGATCCGGGAGCGACGGAGGGAAGGGAAATGAGGGAGCGCAGCTGGAAGATGCCAATGCCTTGGCAGCGCTGTCCAAGGATGCTCCCCGTGGGACCGGGGCACCCCCATGGTCGGGATGCCGGGTGGGATCCGTTTGTCGCTCCTGGGTGTTGCAGGATGCCGGGTGGGATCCAGGTCGGTGGGACCCGCGTGGGGCCCCCGGGGAAGGGGGTTGATCCGCAGCGGAGGGGCTGGATCCCGGTGCGGGGGGTTATCCCGAGCGGCATCCCGGTGCGCCGGGATCCGGGTGGGATTCCCGGGCTG